AGAGTCAGCATATTGCCCTCACAGTCTGGGTCCTCATTTCACCCACCTCGGAAGGATGGAAGGCTGAGTCAACCTTGAGCCAGTGAGATTAGAACTACCAAACTGCAGATAGCAGTCAGCTGAAGTGGCCTGCAGTACTGCACCCTAACCACTGCACCGAGGTGGCGCAGTGGTTAGGGTGCAGTACTGCAGGCCACTTCTACTATACAAGTAGAAGGAAGTAGAAAATCAATGTACAGTAGGTTTAAAACAAAAGAATGTATAACCTATGTTGATGTCACCACTTTCACCAATGGAATTGAGTTCACCAATTCTTCAGCCAACAAGTAGCTCACAATATAACTTTGAGAAAGAATGGAGGCAGTTACGGGCAAGATAATTGAAAGCTTCTGATCAAGGCTTCTAGAGCAGTGTTTCTCAACCTTGGCAACTTGAAGATGTCCGGACTTCAACTCCCAGAATTCCCCAGACAGCAAAGCTGTCTGGGGAATTCTGGGAATTGAAGTCCGGACATCTTCAAGTTGCCAAGGTTGAGAAACACTGTTCTAGAGCTTTACATAGACTCTTGCTTTTAAAATTACTGTCCCTTTAGACAGCAAAACCATACCACTCTCTTGATACAAACAGCATAGTAGGAGATGCTGGCCCAAAAATAAATAAATTAAATATTCTCATGAATGGTTCAAGGCATTAGCAAGGTAGACAGTATCCAATAGATGATTGACAGCCATTATGATGAACCCACTGGTATTGACAAGATGACCCTCAAGTCAATTGCAAAAGGCAGCTTTAGTTAGAACAGTTTGCATCATTATTTCTTGTCCAACCCTATTCATTATTATTCTGTTATACTAGCTAGAGAATACCAGTTCACTTGTCAATTTGACAATATACATAGGGCTGGAACAAACTTAAATGTATTTATTTATGACTAGATTGCCTAAATTAAATTCTTATATACAACATTTTTTTTAAATAAAACCCTCACTAATCTTTAGAAGATTAATCTGATAGATTAACACAGAATTTTTGCAAAGATTTCATTTTCTTGTATTTTTGGTACCAAGTTTTGTGGAATTTATGCTTTCAATTTGAAATCCTTTAATAAAAAAAAAAAAAAGATGTTGAAACTAAATCTTACAATCTTACAACAGAATCTTATGCATGACACTAATCTGGAACCAATCTTTTTCCTTCTGTAGCATATATAGCCAGGTATTTCTATTGGTTCTAATAGATAATTTTTAGCAATGCAAAATACTCTTGCAGAGAGTTGGATTTAAAATGAGCTTATTGTACTTCAATTGTTTGCATTATTGTCAGATCTTTAAAGTAAACCTTTAAAGTAATGTGCTGTTTGAACATGTTGAAGTATGTTTTAATCCACTTGTGATAGGGGCTTGTTACTTTTCTGTAGCTAAGGGAAGAAAACCTATGATATTCATAGCTGTATGTAAGATAAATGGGGAATGGGGATGGATTATGATCATAGCTTTAATATGCCACAAATTTTGATTCTTTCACCAAAAAAAAAACCAAAAAAAAACAAAAACCAGCCCTTTATTTGTTCTACTTTGTGTTCTCTGTCTTGCTACTTGCTGGTTGCTAAGCAACTGCAAGACCATAAATACTGTTTGCATAAAGCACCAAGTTTATTTTATATGCTTCAAAAACAGTAATTGGCAACCTTATCAACAGCAGCCCTGTGTTCAGATGGAACTTCATCCTAATTGTAGAGGATGCTATGTCATCCTGACTTGCATTCAGAAAATAAGGACATTCTGTCATATTTGAAACTCAGGATTTAGCCAAGCAAGGATTTCTGCCCCCGAGTGATCCAAGCTACATCTCATCAAAAAGTACTTTTTTCAGTCATTGTATCTCCTTTCCATTTATTCTGTAATGCCTTGTTAGGGATGGGATTGGAGCACTGTAGTGCTGCTTTATGGGAAATGGGCATGGCCAGCCACCACCACTCTTATATTCAGTGTGTGTGCGTGCGTGTGTGTGTGTGTGTGTGCGCGTGTGTGTTTCTTCTTCTCAGCCTTTGATAAGGAAGTAGCACTGGCATTGTCGAAGGAGGACACCCAAAATCCTCCCAATATGACATACAGAATTGTTGTGTCTCAGTAGGAGCCTTTGGAGCTGCTATCAGACTGACACAGAACTCTCCTGTGAGTGGTTTCAGATGCTCACAGGAGAAGACAACAAGCAGCTGGGGCTCGTTAAGGATCTCCTCCTGCGGATAAGAGACTGATGGTGCCACGCCTTAGTTGCAGATGTCAATGTTCCGTCGTCCGTTCGTTTGTTAGTTCCGTTCCGTTCCTGGTCTAGTTCGTGTTCATGATTCAAAGAAGCACTTGGATAAGTGATTTGCTTTATGTAAACCTGGTTTGCTGTGAGAGTTTGTTTTTGCATTTGCTGTTCAACTTTTTGCCAGAGAATTTATCTATGTTTATTTTGGGCTCGCAGCCAGCAAAAGCCGGGACTGATAAAGACATTCCTTTGCAAACTGTGTGTGTGGCTGTCGTTTCTGAACGAGCAAGGAGTGGGGGTCAGAACACAGTATATTCAATTAGAGTCTAATTATATTGATGATATCCATAGAATAGAACATGGTAATGGTGAAGATTCCCCTGCCCAGTTGTGCCTGATGCTAGGGGACAGTGCCAGCACTCTCTGAAAACATTTCCAAGGTCATGTGGCCAGCATGGCTATATGCCAGAGGTGTACAGAACACTTTTGCTTTCCCTCTGAAGTGGTTCCCATTTCTTAATTCTCATTTTAGCATGCTCTCAAACTGCCAGGTGGACAGGAACTGAAGCAAAGAACAGGGGCTTATCCTTGAGTGCAGTGCTTGGGTCTTGAACCTGGGCTGTTGGCTTTCCCGCTGCTAAGCTCAGCATCTTCAGTTTCTTAACCATCACACCCACACATAATAGCATATAGACGACTTAATTGCAATAGTACTCTTAGCCAAATTCAATTATTCTGATACTTTAAAAAAAAACATTTTCAGTAAAAACAAATAAAAGCAGAAAAAAAATTTCTGATTTTTAAACCAGTCTCTTAATTAAAAAATCAAACCAATATTCTATTCTCCCTCCCCCCCCAAAAAAAATCAGTGAAATTTTACAATGCCAGCATATACAAATTCATGCTCCTCCAAGTAAGCACACTTAGACTGCAAATAATTTGGATGCTTCCAAGCTTCACTTTGCTAGTAGAGAGGGAATCGAGTACTTAGAGCAGGGGTCCCCACCCCTGGGCCGCTGCCCACTACCAGACCATGCCCTATTTGGAACTGGGCTGTGTGAATGGCAGGCCAGTACACATGCAGTTCAACTTGCATGAGTGGGGGGGGGGGGCAGTGTGCATGCACACATGCATGCATCTCCACCTGCACAAGTCAATTTGCATAAACGTGTGTGCATGTCAGCCTGCTGCGCACAGAAATTGAGCTGCACAAGGATCTGTGTGTGCTGGCCCGCTGCTCACATGGTCTGGTTCCTCTTCTTCCAGTGGTGAGTTTCGAATAATTTAAGAACCGGTTCTCTGCCCTCATGATTTCTTCCAACAACCAGTTCACCAAACTGCTCAGAAGCTTAACAACCGGTTCTCCCGAAGGGGTGCGGATTGGATGAATCCCACCACTGCCTTCTTCCTCCCCCACCGGGCCACCAAGCCTCAAAGGTTTTGGGACCACTGAGTTACAGAATAGTCCGTTGATTTCTATATAAAACTGCAAACAATAGTGCTGGGTTAATTCACAGAAAATCCTGTAACTCATGTTCCAAAGGGGGAAAAAAATGAAGCCTTGAATTCAGTTTCCATTCACCACTTAAGCGCCAAGGACTAAGACTCAGACTGGGGGGGGGGGAATGCTTGAGTCAATTGAACGTTTGATTTTTGAGGATCTAGATCAGTGTATCTCAACCATGGTGTCTGAGGAATCCTGGGAGTTGAAGTCCACACATCTTCTCATCGCCAAGGTTG